AGCACGCAAATGGTTCAAACCAAACATGCAAACATGTTCTTGAAGAAACTGTAATTAAGTTGTGCAACTGTTTGTTACAGCAGTGGGTTGTAAATGGTTCTATATATTCAGAAAACAGMTGAAAAGTATGGGAGGAAAATCTTTTCATGGTGTTGTATGTAGAAACATCACATCTTAACTAGCAAGGCTGATCTTATACCACAGATCTTCAGAGGACAAACRCATGCTCTGAAGAATTGTTTTCTCTTTTTCTCACAGGTCATTAGTCCACTGGCAAAGTCTGCATTATKCCTTTGTTCTGAGAAAATATAACTGTGTACTAAATTTTGCACTAGTAAGTCTTGTTTTTCAGGCTGTCCCCTGCAATTCAGAATGGGGAACATTAATTTGCCCATTGTGCACTGTTTTAGAATATGTGTACATCAATTATGCATTGTTTCTGCTGCTTTGGAAAGTGTTACTTGTGTTTAAAACAAAAAATGCTCCTGATTTTTGAATAKCTATGTTGTTTAATTGACTTCACGGTGTACTTGTGATATTTTTAAATAGCTTTAAATGTTTAAATTTTTAATAATTATGTATACATGTCTCTGCACACATCTAGATACATGTACAATAGCAAACTAATAAAATGCATATTTTAATCYCTGGAAAGGGGCTCCAAAAAGATGATCTGCTCAGCTCAAGTAATCAGCTTCTGTTCAGCCAGCAACTGGTTTTGTGTGTTAGTGCCCTAGTTAATAGTATAAAATACCCGGTGTTTTTTGGTAAAGATAGCATGATTCTTTATCTGGTTTTCTACATGTCGTCTTTCTGAGATACTCGGTTCTACCATGGATGGAAAAAAAGAAAGAGAAGAGAGAAAAGCCATTTGAGGAATCAAACAAAATCAAATCATAGACTTCAGGGATATTGGCAATGTYCTACTGTATGCTGACATTTTAATATGTCAGCAATTACATCTCTTTCAATATGTGCCAACAGCTGTAAAACAGACACATGAAGATTTTGTGGCTAGTATATCCTCTCATCAGTAGGCAAGCCATAGTTAATGTTGTAGTCTAAGTTTATGACATGCTTTTGGGGGCCTCTCCTAAATAACTTTGAAWCTCCTCTACTGAGTGACTAATGCAGAGGGCCACTTTCATAAAATTATTTTCTCTATTTTGAAGAGTTCCTGSTTGTAAATCACAAAACTTCATTTGCACTCCATACTATAGTCTTCTAAAAAACTCAAGATAATCCTTGTTCTGCCCATTTTCCAAATTTGTAGCCTTAAGATAAATGTTGTTCAGGGAAATTTTATCTTCAAATAAGAAAGGAAGCTAGCATTCACTTTACAAAAATTATGTTAATTGTTCTGGCAAGTACTGTCTGTATGGCTGTTTTATGTTCATTGAACATACCGTTTGCAGTAGCTACTGGAATTCTCCTGTCTGGCATTATCTTAGAGCCCTTGTACTGTACTGAAATAATTTTCATCAAAATCTCTGAGGACCAGTTCCCCAGCCAAATCACAGAGACAGTGCTATCACTCTCATCTTTTAGATATCACTATGTTCTTCTAATTGAAATCTCCTTTTCTTCTGAGAGCATTTTCCCTTTGAGTTGGAGAGTCCTCATCACATTTCCTCTAAATTTCCTGTGCAGGTTGTGTGAATTATTTTGTAAGCCCACATTCAATTTCCATATCCATGTGGATGGTTCATGTCTGACTTATGAGGCATTTTTTTCTTTGAATGGAATAATATTAGAGTATGGGTTCATTTAGATCACTATACATACATGTCTGAGTAGTGTTTTAGGAATATAGATGCTGCATATTCCTTTGTCTCTCTTAGTGATAGTTTTCCACCTTTGATTGGTGGTGTTGCTATTTGCCTGTCCCTCAGAAGCATTAATTTTGTTTTATAATTATCTTAGATCTCTCTCCATCATCTTACTTCATTGCTTTTCTAAAAAGAGTATAGACTGTTTTTCTTTTACAACATCTAAAATACAGCTCCAATCCTAGATTTATRCAGCTAAAAATCTCTTCAGGCTTTTACATCACACAGTTCAGTTTAAGCAAAATCTTTTCTTAGTGTTGCTTTGTCTTGCTGATGCTCATTGGAAATACTGTTGTGACTGTGACTCATCTGCCCTGTCTTTTTGATTGTGTCGCGCTGCWGGGTAATTGTTTTATTTCTAGTGCACTCTGAAGATTCGCAGTGGTTTTGCTCAGTGACAGAACTGTATGCTGGGCAAATGGGAGATCATTGTCCACGAGCTTGTTATCAGTTGTAGTGCATGACCACAAAAGATAAATTATAGTGAAAAATCCACTGAAACTCAAAGAGAACATAGGAAACACAGAAGCCCAGCTTCTGGTCATATATAAAGATGCAGTTGAAGAAATCCTCAAGTGAAATAGCAACTGCTTCTCTTGAGTTTTTCAGCTGACTTGAATCATGCCTTTCTTTTTTGGTTCTTACACTTTATTTCTCCTCTTTCTCTCTTGCGAGAAGAGAAAAATGGAAAGTGAAATGTAGAGTGCCAGAATGTTTGTCTCCTGTGTTGTGACATCTCTTGAAAAGAAGTGAAGTAATTGTTTCCCCTCTTAAGAAGGAAAGACTGGAACGGCCTGTATCCTCCCGTTCCAATGCTCTGTAGAATCTGCCCCACCCTCAGTGATACCAGTAAAGTTATAGCCCTGAAAGCCCAAGCACATCTCCAGTTCTTCCTGTTTACTCCCCAGGTGTGTGCTTCAGAGACATTTCAGTGTGCTCCCAGTGAAGCTGACTTTGTGTCTGGAGTGGCTGAAATTCCCAGGTGTTCTTTTAGGTATTCTCCTGCTGAGCTGTCTACCTACTCCAGGCATCTCACTGGTATGAGTAGGATAGCATCTCATCCCACACCTTGTCATTGGTAAATCTGATGATATCCCCCTCTCCAGCTGTATCTAGTTTAATTCAGATCATTCTGGGGAGTGGTTAGAAATATGGCTACTCCTAAAAGGGTAATATCAGTGTTCTTATGATGCATGTGTGTTCAAACACAGTTGAAGAAATAGGTATAAAATGTTCTCCAGTGACAGCATATATTTTTGTACATATTTAGTCTCTAAATGCTAGTACATTTTTTTCTTTTGTAGTTCAGTTATTGCATAAAACATCATGGCAGAGATTAGTTTGCTTTTTAGTGAAATTAGTGTAGTATCAAATAAAGAAGTGAGAAATCATGCTACCATTTTCTTAATATCTCTGAAAGTAATTAATTTAAACAAATGAAACTGAATCAGGTAATATGCTTTAGTAGCTGTCTTGTGCACGCTCGCTGGTACATGCTGCTCCGTAATGCTCTCTGCAGCATCCCTGAAGCAGAATTCCTAATTCCTTTCTAATGTCAGTCTCAGGTTTACTTGATAGTCACGTCTCACAACTTTGAAACTTYTGTTATGACTGCATAGTTGGCATGTTTGTTCTGTTTGGTGACATCTGATAAATAYATCCATATAAAAAGTAGTAGATGAGATGTTCTGGGTTACAGTYTTACACTAGTTTAGAAAAAAGATATACTTAGTATGCATTTAAAAATCCTTTTATACTGATTTATGTACTATTCTGAGTGAAAACAGGTTTCATGCAAGATCCCTGCATCTGGGCAGTGGCAAAAAAAATCAATTGAAGACCACTGTTGCAGCTATTTAGTTTTATCTAGGTTGCTCTAAAATACTTAAAGGGAATAAATAACCTCAGTACAGGCTACAGTTGTGTTTTGTCATATGTTTGGTTATGCCTACTGTGCAGACAAATTCTGAATCTTCATTGCTGTAAGATGCAGAGTAGTTTCAATTTGTCAGGAAAAAGAGCTGTGGATATGCTAAATACTGTTTATAAATGTATTGCAGTTAGAGCGGGACATGTGCTACATTTTCAACAAAGTCAAAGTTGATCCCTTAAATCCACATTTCAATACTCACTCTATTTAATGTGACTGTTTGCRTCTGTGTGTCATTCACTGGTGCTTGTCAAAGTTGGCCGAGTCCTGGAGTCTGATGTTTTGAGTAGAAAATCTTCCTCTAGTAAATATTTTTTTTTTGTTAAGGGGAAACTGGTGAATGTAGAACCTTACTTTTAGTTTGATGTTGACACTAGATAGGCAGGCTGTTAATGTGCACTAGAAATAAAACTCAGGGGTTTTGGTTGTTGGAAGTGAAGTAGAATTTGTGCATCTTTTGGTAACTTATTTTCTCCTTTTAAGAAAGGAGAAAGTTTATATATGAGAAATATATATTTAATTGTTGTTAACTCTCATGGCTCACTTCTGAAGAGATGTGGGGAGTGGATTATTCTGCAACCATCATGTAAGCAAAAATAGGCTTTTTGTCTTAGTTGTTAATATTTTTGTTTGTGTTGGTTTTATTTTGTTTGTGTTTGGTTTTGATTGGTTGGTTGGTTGGCTTTTTGTGAAGGCAGTTTAATTCAGCAGCTTATAAGAATAAAAATCAGGATTCAGAGCAGATTTGTTTTATTAAAATTATTTGGTGTATAATTGGGTGCTAATATTTACAGATAATCTGTTGTTAGAGAAGAACCTGTTAATAAAAGGAAAAAACCCTAAACATGTACTAAGTAAGGATAAAGCACATATGTAGAGTGTTTTACTGTGTGGGTTTTTTTTAAATTATATCTTTTCAAATAATTTGCATTTTAAAATGACAGGTATTTCTGGAGAACTGAGAATTATGTCTCTTGTTTTCAGGATATAAATGGCTTTCAGTTTTCTTTATACTTAAGATAATTGCACAAAATKTTTAAGGAAATACAGAATTAGTAAGTGGTTAAATTGGTCTGAGCTTWGTCCTGCTGGTGTTGACGCTTCCTGGCTTGTATCCGTAGAAACTCATCCCCTGTCTTCAATTTAAATGGAATTCAGGAATCCATATTGTACATTCTCCAGTAAATCAATTATCATACAGATTTGCTTGTTTTCACTGGAGATTCTGCCCTTTCTTGTAGGACAAGAAGGATAAAGTCTCGAGATTTGATACTATACGTCATTCCATAGCTGGAATTATAAGATCTCCAAAATCTATGTTGGGATCATCATCGGTAAGTAGTAGTAGTTTTGTGATATATTCTGTTGTTTTTACAGCTTAAATAAGGTTTTCTTTTTCTTGAAGGATCATGCATTTCCACCTAAATGGACAAAAACTAGATTACAATGACATTGCATAAACACTGTTCTGATTGATTAGCATACAGGATAATATTAATATAATGGTATAATCATATGTCCAAACAACTTGCCGCACTTGAGGAAAATCACAATTTGTATGTTCTTTGCAGCTCCTAGAGTGGTGCTATCTTTTTCAGATTACTGTTTCCAATGAGGCTGAGTTTCTTGAAATGCACTCTATCATAGTAATCTAYAGCAGATGGCCGTCTAAGTTTTACCAATTGTTGCAATAACTGTATTCCCCATATTTGTTATAAAAACATCAATGCATAAGCATCTTAGTGACTTCTTCTGTGTCAGAAAGCTGAACATACATAGACTACTGGTACTATTTAAGTAACTGTTGTAGATCTTAAATCCCCACTAAAAATAGTTGTTGGATATCTCTAAGTTATAGTTTGCTTTTGTTCAAAATCTGTGATTGTTGGACAGACTTCCTTGTATCTTTCACTTTTGTATTCCCTCTTKCTTGTTTCATATGGAAGTTTGCAAGATTAGTTAGAATCCTTGAGCACCTACTTAGGGATATGTCACATTTCACTTGAAAACATTCTTCCTGTTTTTCCTTGAGGTGGAAAATGTGATCATCCCAACCCTCCCAACTTAAAACCAAAACAAAACAAAAAGCAGGCAAAAGAAAAAAAAACCCTTAAAAAAAAGTTGGGCAGTTTTAAAAACTTTAAAAGTGCCTTTTAATTGTGATAATGTTGCCTGAAATACAAGTGCAAAATAACATTCTTGGGAAAACTTCAGAAGCAATGGTTGCCTGTCTTCTGCTGCAGAATTACATCTAAAGACCCTTTAAAGGATACAGCACACCATATTTAAGGTAGACAGTTTTCAAAATGGGTGGGAGAGATAACAATTACATGTGTGTAAGTATACATGTGTATGCAGAGGTCAACTGTATATAGTGATGAAAGAATGGAAATGTATGTATGATAATGAGATAAAATTAGGGTAGAAAGGCTTTTCCTGTAAAAAGCATGAAAGTTGCATAACATTTGAAAAGTGACAGCAAAAACCTTGCTAAAATATTAAAATGTCCTTGGTGTTAAACAAAATCTCCACATTATTGTGATCTTCATTATATAAAACTTTCAATTGTTACAAAAATGCAGCATTTCATAGTAAAACCCATTAAATTGTGAGTTTCTTTGACTTTTGTTCTGTGTGTCAGTGGGACAGAATTCACCTGTGTCTATTTCTATGCATTATAAAAACTTACAACTTCAAAATAAACCAAAAAACTTCAACAAGSCACAAAACAAGCCTACCGAAAACTAGTTTAGAGAAAAATTGGAAAACAAAAAAAAGTCTCAAGAGGAAGATCAAAGTAAAACATTTAGATTACATTAGGGAAAGTCAATGTCAAAATTTCAATTGGCCTAAAGTGTCATTTTAAATAAACTATGTGCTACATTCTGATTTTCATTCCATGGAAGCTGATGTAACTGTGGCTGTAGGTACGTGGTAGATAGGATTGGTGAAACCTTGGAATATGTTTGGAAGAGATGAGATTGGCATTGGTTCATTTGAGTCAGAAAGTAAAATCTGTGTAGCAAGTGCAATCTTGATTACTTGTCGCTAAAATGGCACCTAAATTATTTCAGTTAGAATATATAAACTAGCCAATTTCCAGTTTTGCTTTGTGTTTTGATTCAGTGACTTCTTCTGTGTCAGAAAAACTGAACATACATAGACAGGTAAAATTTGCATAACGAGTTATTACTTAACTATTGAATGTGGTTGGCTGCATTGGATAATTATGTAATCATGTTTAATTGCTAAATATATAAACTGGTACTTAAAACTTCAACAAGTACAAAAACATCAACAAGGTGTTCAAAGTGATTATTGAATGTGTATTATAAAGAATTGTTAACATACGTAAAAGAATTTGTTTTTTTTAATAGACGATTACAAAAGGATCTCAAAGCAGATTTGGAAAATGACTGGTACGATCCTCTCATATAGTCTAGTCAAAAATGTGATGTTACCTACCTGTTCTCAAATTGTATGTTTTAGGCTTATTAAGTTTTGAAAGTATTTTGGAGTATTTAATTTTTAAATATATTGAAACTTCTAAAAAAAAGAGCAATATCTTGGTTTAAATGTGGTGCCGTTTTAAAAACACTGCCCAGTATTTAATTGGTGGGATAAATTGAATTGTGTTTGTGTGAATTAGCAAGGACTACTTTTTTGTGTGTCACCTGAAAAACGTCATAGGGAAACTGTCATTCTGAAGGTAGCCAGGAGTTTTTGTGTGTTGACACTGAAACGCTATATATGCTCTGAGAATGAGAAGGTAAGAGGTAATACAGGAAAAAAGTGTAGTTTGAAGAGAATACAAGGGTAAGGATTCAGGTGGCTTTTCCTGGACAAAATGCAGGCCAGCTTTCTGTAACAGAAAGAGATATAAGTTTAATCAAATGAGGAGAGGACACACAACAGTGGGAGTCACTTTCAAGTAATGGTAATGAAATGCTGTGAATACTCTGAATGAAGAGTCTGAACTAATTGTGTCATGAATGTCAGCTTCTGCCCTTCTGCATATTTGTTTTTGGTATGACGCATTTGAGCTTTGCAAAAATACATGCTTTTGTTTATAGGTTAATTTTTTTATTGTTTATAGCGTAATAGGTGAAATTAATGCTTGTTTCAGATGGTATATTATCAGCTTGTGGGAGTGAGCCAGGTACAGAGAGACAGAATATTCCATAGGGTATTTCTCTAATTATCAATCTAAATTTATTGCTTTACATTCTCATTTATGTCTCATTTATGTCTCTGCTACTCTTTTACATTAGGAGAGAAAAAATACCTTGAGAAAATGTTTTGTTTCTCAAAGATGGAAAACAAGGAAGTAGGGAACATTTGTATTCAGAATACCTGTGAAAATATAATTACTAGTTTAATAAAATATCATCCCCATTATTATTTTTATTTAACTGGCAATGTAAGTGCATGAATAATATACAATTTTTTGGAGCTAGAAACAAAACACTGCTGTTTGCTCAATTTTTCTCTTGAGATAAAGGCACTAGTTGGGGGTTGCTTCTTTTTACTATTGGAGAAGAACATCTGTTTCAAAGTATTGTTAAACAGGGAGAGAGAAAGAGGCTCAATATAAGTAAAGAGGACGGTACTAGATCCACAAGGAGCATTATGAAGTATATGAGGCCATCTCCTCGTAGAAGAAAAAGTGTGATTGAGCCCCAGCCCCACCCAGCAATCCATGAGGGAAATACRGCAATAAATGGAAATCTTGAGGGAGGGAGGGAGGGAGAGAGGGAGAGTAGAAATTTGCATTGTGAGTTCCTTTCCTTCTACAGTATTTGGTTAGTTGTTTATTTTTACCTTCCAGCCAAATTAAGACCAAAAATCCTAGAAACAGTATTTCTTCCTTTATGCTATTGAATYATTTAGTGCTTCTTGAAGTGTACATACAAATGAGCAAGAGATCTCATTCCCCAAGTGAGATTCTAAAACATTAAGGTCTGGAATATAACTTGTCATATTAGTTTCCTGGCTGATACTTTAGTAGAGTTTAAAGAAAAAAGGTGGGAATTTAATTTTGTGCAGGTAGTTTGGTTTTTTCTCTATGTTCCTCGAAGATTAACCTATCATTTAATTCTAACTATAAAATACAGTAGAAATATTAGTACTAATAGTGGTAAACTAAGTTTAAATCAGTATTGAAGGGGATACATATCCTGCATTTGTACTTTTGTCTGGGCTTTCAGACATATTTTATTCTACAGTCAGTCAGGGTGAATATTGTATCATAGAGAAAATATGCCAGAATCAAAGACTTGTTCATAAAAATAATGTAATTTTAATAACACACAAGACAAGAATAATTGCTGCTTACTTCATCAGAAAACACACCTTGGTATGATAAAAAGTAAAGGTAAGTAAAGTGAAGGACAGTCAACAGAAAAAACTTGGTCAAATTTTCATTCCAAAGTAATAAATACTGGTTCAATCAAATTTAAAAGTGGGAAGATTGATGATAAAGTTAGAGACAACACTTTAGTTTTCTGTGTCTAAAATTCTCTGTTTTCCTTCCATAAGCTTGTTTTGTTCTGGTATGTGATCCTGATTGCCTCAGCCTGAACCCAGTTTGTACATAAGCAGGTGTTACTATCTGATGGCTTCCTTTTTAAGCTATAAAATAAATTGCATGTCAGGGGATTTTTTAAACTTTCTTTTGTGAGCGCCATGAAGTAGATTAGTAACCCTGAACTGTTCTTTTCTCCTTACAAGTCCTTTTCCCTCTCAAGTAGAAATCTGCTCCTGTGTTGAAGGGTTTGCTTGCTCTGAACATACCAGAGATCTAGGTTTTCTCTCAAGTCAATTTTAGCATCTCTGAACCATTAATGTTCAAGTAAATAACATGGTCGAACAGTTTGAAAGCTTTTTTTTCTTTCTTTTAGGAATTTGTGAAAGAAAATGACATAATGCCATTCAACGGTGGCAGACAGCTTTCACCTTGACATATATTTTTAACTGTTGATGAAATTGCAACATGTGACTTGGCCAGTCAATAGGTCTACTTTTTAGCAGTTCACCGTGCTGATAAAYATGTAACCTTGCCCCTAAAAACTCTGTGCAATTTGTGTTCAAGCAGTAGTTACTTCTTACACAATCCTTCCTATCTGACTCTGTAACAGAGTGCACTCCCTTTCTAGTGATGGGTCTGTTGTTTATAGAGCTGGTTTCAGATCACAGGTCTGAAATTTTCCTTAGTGTGAATTTCATCCGTGWTGATCCTCTCTGTGTGTCTGTTGATGTCTGAGAATGCAAGGTGCTGTCGTGTTCCTACATGTGTTCTCCAGTTTTCCATGCAAATCCCGGAGTATATTAGTCCTCTGATGTATAAGTTAGAAAGGCATCCAGGAGTCCACAAAGACATTTTTCATAGCAAAAACTTTATGCAAGTGCTAAAGAATTGCAGATATTTGGGAACAAGTTCTTGGGTCTGCTGATTTCCACTCTGAGAGTCTGAGGTCAGTCCTAGTGTTTTTTGGACTAAGGTGAGGCACTGTAATCTAAGCATCTTCTGAGGGAGATCTTCAATGTGCAAATGGCCTCCAACCTGGGTTTTTATCAGGGCAGAGCAGTAGGAGAGGTTAAGTCAGAATCATGTGATTTGATTGCATCTGTTTAATTGTTCTTCACTGAAGTGTAGATCTCCATGCTGTTACCTGGATGCGGTTCAGGAGCCTGGAAACATTCACAGTCCTGTTTAACTCACAGTAAAGTGTGCTCTGGGTTATATTGTTCAGAGTTTTACCGCTGGCTGTGAGAATTTCTATGAGCTCTGGCAATGGTTTTGAAAGACACACAGCTTAAATAAGGGTTTGCATTCCTACCCATAACAAATAAATCTGGGGTGGCCATTGACAAAATACGAAGTTTCTTTTCTGTTTTCTTAAATGATGTAAAATTATTTATAATTAAAATACTTAAAATYAATTTGTGAAATCATAGGTTCAAATTCATTGACTTCCACTTACAGCCATTAGCTTCCATATGCAGCAAATTCCATGCAGTGAAATAATTCCTTACAATCTTTGTAAGGAAACGCTTGTTAAAGAGGTCATAATGACAGTGCACCCAGGTGTGTATTCTGCACTACAGTGTAAGTGCTAGGAAAAATATCTCATAATTATTCATTTATTTGATTGCAATTGATAAATTCTGTGTAAACAGTTTATCCAGTTCAAATGTTTTGGGTAAACAAATTTATTATGATTTTGTGTCTGGATAGAGAAATGGTAATTTTCAGTTGTTGTTAATAACATGTCAGAATGTGTGAGAAAGAGTTGGTGTCTAAGGCTTATGAAAAATAGTGGGCCAGATAAAAATACTATGTGTTCTTATGGACAATTCCATAAACTTCTGCTTTTGATTATTAATTATTGACGTAAATAGAAAAGAAAGTGATCAGTATGTCTTTGTGCAAATGTGAGAGCCTTGATATTGTTGGTTAATGGAAATGCATTATGCATTATTTAGATACATTAAAAACAAATTATTGTTGTTTGTGATACTTTTCATATACAAGTAAACTCTAAATATGTACTGCAGTAGTAACATTTTTCTTCAATGTTTTTCCCAAGTTCTTTGATGTAATCTCAACCACTGAGAAACCATTGGCTGAGCAAGACTGGTATCATGGTGCAATTCCGAGAATTGAAGCCCAGGAGCTGTTAAAACAGCAAGGAGACTTCTTGGTGCGAGAGAGCCACGGGAAACCTGGTGAATATGTCCTTTCTGTGTTTTCAGATGGACAACGGAGACACTTTATCATACAATATGCTGATGTACGTCTCTGATATCGTACTGAATATTCAGTTTAGGATCTACATAGTTTACTGTAGCRAATGGATTTAGCCTTTATGTGAAAGTATGAAAGCAGTTGAAAATATTTCCATCAGCACTGGAATCAGGGGAGAAGGTCATTTTGGGAAAGAAAGGAAATATGAAGTATCAGTATTCCATGTCTCTTTTATTGAAAAGCCAAGATATTTCTGTAAATGTTTTGAAATCTAGAACTTGTTGCTCTTTATTTATGCATGTACATTTGGTTATTTTAAACCTGTTTTCATAGTTGGTGCTAATTAGGCTACTTTTAGTTCAGACTAGAAATAGTCCATTGAATCTCCCTGAAAAATGGGAACAGGCCTGGAGAAAAAAACAATCTGTGCTGGTTTTTATACAGATGGGAATTAAGTCCCTCTTGCACTTGAGATGGTTATGTCTTTTTACTCCTGTGATTATGGTTTTGTTACTTGCAACACAAGCACTTCTCGATATTGCACAATGCATGTGCTTCTAAGGACCAGAACTGACCCCCTTGTTGATCTAACGTAGGAAAAAATGAAGACTTAAKAATTAACACTATATTAATTTTTATATTACTTTATCCAGTCTATTTTATTTTTATTCTTCTTAATGCATTGCTTGTTTTTTTAATAATGTATGTATTTTTCTTTTTACCATGCAGAATTTTAAAYTTATTCAAAACTTGACACTTCCCATAACATTACTAGAAATTTTTCTTGAAGTATGAAATTGCAGCAATTTAATTGCATAATGATATTTAAACTGAGAATTTTGTTGTCTGAATCCCCAGATGATGCAGCATGCCTGGGRTAACTCAATATTGTGCACTTGRTTTATTTCCTGTTAATGAGAGGCAGTGACATTTTTCAAACTTCATAGAGGTTGGAATGCTTCTCTAGGATTCATGATTATAGACACTTGTCATGCTGCACAGTGTTTATTAGTTTTCACCTAGAATTTTCCTTGCAGAATTGAACACATAGTCAGTGTTTAATTTTATTTTGATTTTTTGATGGTAAAAGTATTTTGATGTGTCAGAGCGCTGAATGAGAAAGTAAAAGCAGTAAAATTACCTGTACCTAGCGTCTTAAAAGAGGCCTGGTGCTCACTGGTCTGGCCCAGAAGAAATAAATACATATTATACACCACACCCGTGGTGTGACTGAAATAGTTTTGGGCAAATGATTGTGTGTGGCAAGTAAATCTTGTATACATTGGACTTTCAAGTCCAAGTATTACTTTGAGGCCTACCTGTAAGCTGACTCTTCTTTTATGTTGTGATGTTTTTTCCCACCAAAGCAAAATGAAACAAAACAAAAAAAACCTCTACCTTTGTAATCTCCGTAATTTTGTACTTASGAATGATGTTCAAAATGTGAGACTGATGTTGTTTAATGTTGCATAGCTTGGACACTCACAACATCATCAGGTCAAGATATTTATCTGCTTGTACATTTACTAATAGAGCCATTATCCCATTATGTTCATCTGCTCTTGGGATTAATTTGTGGTAGAGTTTCTTGCCAATTATGGAAGATAAAATCTTTTTTATTTTTTAAGATGTTCAGTAYTTCTTATGCACTCTTACGTGGTGAATTTTCTGAAAAAGAGGAAAACCGTATGAAGCTCTAGAAAGCAGGTTAGGAGTTATTCATGTCACATAGCAAGGGATGTATTAATGAACTTTTTTGTAGGGAAGTTCGAGGAGAGTTTAGTGCAAGCATTTGTTTGTTTACATTGGTGTGAACAATGTGGAATTTGGTCTCTGGTCTCTAGTCAAACCACACACTTGGATCACTGATGGGTGATCAGTGATCATCTGATCTTGATATTTTCTTCTGAATCTAATACTGAAGGTCATTGTAGGACATTTGTTTTAACAGCAGTCTTTCAGTTGTGTAAATATTCTGTCTCTGATTTTACCATTATTTCAAAGGCTAATCTTGATATGATTGTGTRTATCATCATTCAACATTAAGCATCAAAATTCACTGCTGTCACTCTCTATCTTGTTGGTATTTCAGTTTCAATTTATTTTAAATAAAGAGTTATTTTATCATATTGCCTTACATGACTAATGCAATAATTTTGCATTTATTAATTTATCATTTTCCTAGGTGCCATTCCAGTTAAGTCAGTGTAAATGCTATTCAATAGGTCAGAAAAGGAATTTAAAATAACTCTGTAAAAATGTACATTTTTTTCTGTTTTGTTACTAGTGAGGGAAATTAGATTGTGCACTTTTGCCATTTCTTGTTTGAACTATTGCTTGTAGAGAAATAACTGTTTCTTTTTGCCTCCGTACAGAATCAGTATCGTTTTGAAGGAACTGGGTTTCCTACTATTCCTCAGCTCATAGAACATCATTACACAACAAAGCAAGTTATTACAAAGAAGTCAGGTGTTGTTCTGCTGAATCCTGTTGTTAAGGTAATGGTTACATTCCAGAACCTTCATTTAATGGACAATAATTTTGTGTGTTTTTATTCAAAAGAAGACTTTTGAATAAGATAGGACTTTTCAGAAGATACTTTAATTTTTGTTCATTTTGTGACTCTGTTCCTGAGCTCTTTCAAACTTCTCACCTGTGTGCAGTACATTCACTTAAAACATCTCTCTATTCTGATTCTTACAATGAAATTTTGCTATTTTGAAAGAATGGCATTCAACTTCTTACCAAATATCCTCTTGCTTTTCTCTTTGGTTTCAAATTTCCCTACTAAGAAATTCAAAATAGTAGTCCACTGCTCTTCCTTCTATAAAATAAAAAAAGTTCTTTTGTATAATAGAGAAAGTCAACTCCATTTTGTTTCTGTTTTACATCATAAAAGTTAGAAACAGAAAAAAAATTCCAGCATCAATGGATACGCTGTCTTTCAGRATGGTAACAAAAATGGATACGTATTAAACGATGTCAATGTTTTAAGAGTCTCCTTAACTTCTCTGGCAGTTTTGCAGTTAGTTTCTATCTTGTTGGTATTTCATTCTTAAGCCTACTCCATGTATATCTCTGCATCTTAACTATGGGTAGGCCTTTTGTTCTTGATTCATTTTTTTTAAGAACTGGTTTAAAGCCGGTGTTCCACAAAATTTTAGAAAGTATGACAATGTATTTTGCAGTGTTAGTTGCCTATGCCAGGGTCCTAGTTCTTTCCTGCTTATAATCCTAAGGAAGTAAAGCATGTTCTTTTTCTCAGAATTACAAATTATCTGCAATTAACTGTTCTATAATATTCTAAAATTTTAAGAATGGGACATTGTAAGTGCAGATTTTGTATTAGTATCTTCCTGATTACCAGTCTGATGCTCCACTTAACATAAGATATTGCTTACATTCACTGTAGATCACATGAGAAGGCATAGAACATTCTTTTTGATGTATGAATAATTATATTTTTATATAAATGGTTTAAGCTGCAAATGAGGGGTAGTCATCTTTAAAAATCTGTTTGCAAATTTCTCCCTCTCTTTAATACCATGTTTAAATATTTGGTGCTTTTTTGATTTCCTGACTGTATGTGGTGTGAGAGCAGCCCTGTTTTAGTAAGTGTTAAACGATGGCATATTTTACTACATATTCCCATTTATTGTCTGTTAAACTGGAGCACATCATCTGTAAAACATCATCTACTCATTCTCTGTTGTTTACTTTGAAGATAGGGGAGTTTCATTTTGCTGTCATTTTTGTTTCATTTGCTGTCATTTTTTAATGGAGTTAAGTTTTAATTTGTCAATAGTCTTGTGTACCTGTAGCCAAGTAATTTTTCTAGTACCTGTCTTATGGAAGAAACCTTTTCCCAAATGGCTTTTCTGGTCATTTCACCATTACTGTACTTGACTTTGTGGCCTTTGAGGTACCTTTAAATACTCTAAATCCCTTAATGATCTGTCTGTGGTGGATCTTTCTAGAACTTGAATCCATACCATTACCACTGCATTCAGGTGTATCATAACCATCTTGCAAATAAATGGAGGACAATTTTCAAGACAGTCTTTTCAGCTTCCCTAATTGTCACAGGGTATAAAGTCAGGCCTTTTGTTTTTCTTCTTTTCAGGGGAAAATAAAGTGGGTCCACTCCTCTCTGGATGTTTTGACTTGAGTTAGTCTTAGTGTCAATTAAACTTAGTAYTAACTAAAAATCAGGGGAAATACTAGTATTTCCCCTAGAGTTGTGCTGGGTGGTAGTTAATTCGAGCTGCAGTGCAAAACTACTTCAGCTGCTCAGATTTCCCCAAAACTATGCAAATAATTGGTGTCTATCTACAAAATCAGGTTGCAGCTATTTTTTCAATGTCCTGGTATGAATCACTCTGAATATTCAAGGGTATATCCTTTAGGGTTAATAAACCTTTCAGCTTTCATTCTGATATGGTACATGAAGTAATGGAAAGGGTGACTGTTAGAACTAAGAAGAGTATTGAGTGACAGGAAACTGATTGTATAAGTTTTTTTAAATGGATATATTCAGTGGATTCCAGGTAGGCTTTCAAGAATTTATGGAATAGGATGTCAGTTTCTATAGCTACGAATACTTGGTGTAATAGTACAGTTAGTGCTTCATGACCTGCAGTTTGAGCCAAATAAGACAGCGTTGAAAASAGTGTTAGCTACATGATTGGAATTTCTTTAGAACAGCTGTTGTCAAAAATATTTAAATTGTTTCAGTTTGAGCTGTGGTTTTGTGGTGGTTTTAGTTCTCCCATCTGATAAAAACTATTTGCTGTATTCTGAAGAAGTACTTCRGATTGAAGAAAAAAATGATGTTGTAAGCTTTCCTTTTTAATTTACATGGAGCACTGGCTTTCATGTGGGAAAGTGGACACATTTTAAGTCACTTTCAGAAGTAGCATATGCACTCTGACACCTAGTGTTGGGGGTAATCTATTGCATCATGTGCTRTTATCAAGATGTCTTTAATAATTTCCTTTACATTCATTTGACATCTGCAAAGACTGGTTTTTCTTTGTTCACATGGTAGCTCCAGAGCAGTCTTTGTCATTTTGTGCAATCTTTAATCTTTTTATGCAAATTTCTGTCCCTGTAATAACCTGTTTAGAAAGTTAAATACGACAAACTTCACAGCAAAAAAAGAAGTTGCAGCTTTTAGTTTGTTTTTGCTTTCCCTCTTCCCACAGTCATTCATCCTCCTTTACCATATTAGTAAAATTAGTGTTCACCTTCTGTGATGTTGCCCTTGAAAGGAACAGACTTAATTGTGTCACAAAAGGCCTGTCCCATGTCCCATTTCATGTAGACTGAATCTGCCTGCTTGGAATTTTAATCATTCTGTAATAATAGAATTTAAATTAGGAAAACTGAGGATATTAAAAACATATCTGCAAGTAACTTCTTTAATGGAAAAATGTTTCATATTTATTTATAATCTTCTAAAAACTGCAGATTATGTTCTTCAGATTATTACTGATGGACTGACTGGTACATAAAGCCTCTCAGTAACCTCTGAGCACATCCAAGGACTTCATTAGTAAAAATGCTATTTTAACTACATTGAATGTATTTTAACTTTTTAACATCCTTGACCTCCTCTTTGTGAGGTTTTCACATTTTTTTTAAATACATTTTTTTAATATTTAAGAACTGTGCATTAAGTTGTGACTGTGCTTCAGCTTAACTACTAGAAAAGTGAATCATCAAAAAGATAAGGAATGGCATTTTTATGTAAGTGTCCATCAAGTTTTAAGTGAATTAAAGGTTTCCTTGGATCAGAAGTACAGCTTTGAAGCAAAGCTGCCTAGGGTGCACAATTGCTCATGGGAGGGCGTTCAGTTTTCAGAACCAGGAAAGATCTAGCCTGAAATAATGCTTTTCCACAAAATATGTGTTTCAAATTCTTAGCACCAGGTGGTTTACTTTGGAGATCTGCTACTATTTCACTGGTGCTAATATAGTCCTGGTATTTGGGTGCTCTGTAGTTAATTCAAATTCAGAGTTTATAAAAAAATATTAACATCTACATTGTCAGCTGAGTTAGGCCATGTGCTTGTTACTRTTATCTTTCATTTAAACATTCTGGATATATTTTTATGCGACAAAGAAGTCTGTAATACTGCCTTATATGTTTTGTGTACATAGGAAAATGAAAATCAGAAATGTTGAGATAAAAGTGTTGAGAGAAAAAAGTAGATATTTCTTAGTAGCGTTTCTAATGCTGGTAAGTTTGCAAATCATGTGAGATTCTGTGCAGATCTGATGCTGTATTGCAAGGTAGAAATATGTTGATGTGTTAGACATGGGAAGAAATTATGAAGAAATATATATTTATGTTAGAATTTTTTTTTTTGTGAAAATCCATTTATAAAATTCTGACGCGGCCCTAATTTTTTTGTTGGTGCGGTTTTTCAGGGGGGTTGTTTTATTTTGGCAAAGCAAGCTGAAGTTCACTGTTTCATATAGCACATGTGCTCAGGGTACAGGTGGTGTGTGTCTCTCGGGCCAGCAGAGCACACCTGCAGGAATCTAAGGAGGCTGCTGAGAAGCCTCAGTTTCAGACAAGCCCACTTAATGCCTGCTAGGAGATACTGGATGGAAACAAGAGCACTTACAAAGGAGACTTCCAAGTTTGTTGCAAAGTAATGCTGACATAAAATTACAGATTCTCATCTCGTGGCTGGAGAAAATTTAAGGTGCTCAGTARGGAGAAAGTGGCACTAATGGTGCTGCCTTTGAGGAAGATCATCTTATATCTGTTTGACCTGAGGACAACTCTTGAGGAGTAGAAATCTGAGAGGCAGAAGCAGCCTGTGGCTGGACGTGATTCAGTTACTGCAGCTCTACCTTGGCAGATTTGTAGATCCAGAGAGGATTCCTGTGGCACCCTGAATTGCCTGCATTCTGTAGGAATGCCACAGAGCACTGGGAGGACGTGGTCTCTTGGGGCTGATTTTTGGCCCAAAGCTGTAATTCTCGTGGGTGCAATTAAAAGTCTAATACATACATTTTTAAATGTCAAAATGAATCTTCAGTTATCTTTAAGGAAATTGAATTCACAATGAGAAGTGAGTGTTTGTAATATGTAAAAGAGGTACTTACAGAAATTGAATGTATTTATTGAATATGCATKAAATTAATCAATAGCCTGCAGGTATTGATATTTGATAGCCGAGTTTCATATCTTAATATTAGAGGTGCATTTCAGTTATGTTCTTATTTCTTCAGTATTTGGAGAAGTATTAAAGGATTTGCTTTTAATGTTTTCTAGCAGAGTTTATTGCAATATTTCTCTCGGGTAACAAAAGGAATGCATTATCCTTAATGGTGGCCTGTACTTGTCAAGGCATGTCATCCTATTGAGAAAAAAGAGAGTAATTTGCTCTTAGTGCTAACAAAGTACTAAACCAAATTTATGTATAATTTCAAGTATATTGACTACTTTCAAAATGGAAAGGATTTATTTTTTCAAAAATCTAAT